GGTTTGGGGGACAAGGACCGCTCAGTACCCTGCAGGGCGAGCCCATGGTGTCCCCCCCAGCCCTTTCCCAGCCCCATCTCCCTGCTGCCATCAGCCCCCGAGTGCTTTGCAGGAGCAATCGAGTTCAAATGAAGTAATCACTCTTCAAATATAGTCATTTGCAGGGAAAATACAGGCCTTGCTGTGATTGCAAATGGTCTCGACTGAAACCATCCCTCCCATCCGAAGGAGAAATGTGTTCAGCTCCGGTGACAGCAGCCTCAATCACAGCCATCGCAGCCCCATCACATCCCTTGGCTTCTCCCTGCTTGGGGGTAAAAAGCTGAGGTTTGGGGCTTTGAACCTCTCCGGAGTCAGATGTGCTTTGGGGAGGGCTTTTTTGCTCCCAGTTATGCCCATCAAAAGGCAGATGGAGGGAGAGGAGCTGCCCCAAGCCCTTATCCTGCACCCATGGGATGGAGCTGCAGCACCCACCCGCCTCACCCAAAGCAGTGGACAAACACCTCCACACTGACCAAGGCTTCCACCCCAAACCCCTTTCAATCTTAATTTCACTTCAGAATACCCCGTTTTGCTGCCAACACAATAAAGCCCCATTTTCCCCCATTAAACCCATAGGTCAGTCGTTACCTCCCTGAGCATCACTCCAAGCGGAGCAGATGCAGCTCTTGTAACGCTGCAGGGACACAACCCCCAGCACCTTGCACTGAAAATGAAGCAATTTCACACCCAAGTTTCCACTTTTTGCCTTTTTCCCCCCCCTTTTCCCCTTATACCTATAGTCAGTCTCCCTCTTCCCCTCCACCTCCCCTCCCTTTGGCCTTTCCTATACCTCCACCTATTATACCCCCATCCTGTTCTTTCTCTCTAATAAGTCTCGGCTATTTTCTCAAATCACCTGCCTTTCACTAATGCTCAAAACCCCTTTTTCTTCCTTAACAGACAAAATAGATTATCTCATCCTGCCGCTCTCCTCCCCATCTGTCCAGCCCCGAGTGGTCAGACACCCGACGCGGTGCCGCGGCCGGATGTAATAGAGCTATTAGATGAGTTATCTCAGCCTGAAAGGATGAAATAACTTCTGTGTCCTCATCCAAATAAACCTCCCTATTCCTGTTCAATGCAAAGAACGAACAAGACTTCCCAGAGGAAATAGCCAGGAAAACGTTAGCAGATGCCCATGGCAGGGGCTGGAACTGCTTGATCTTAAGGTCCGTTCCCACCCAACCCGTTCTGTTATTCTGTGTTACCTAAGACCCATCCCCTCACCAACCCACCCTTTGCTTTGTGCTCAAGGGTCGCTGGTGTTTCCCCGCAGTTAACTGGGAAGCCCAAGGATCAGTGGAACACCCAGAGCTAACTCTTCATTCAGGAGCTGCCCCAGCAGCACTGAGTGGCACCGCCTCATAGCTGTGCAATGTATGGCTGAGTTTGAGGACCACATGCATCCAGAAAACTGCTGCTTATACACCCCAGGCACCCATTGCAAGAGGGAAACCTTGTTCTCCATCTCAGAAGGAGCTTTCTGGAGCTACTCTTGCATTTCCCATCAGCTGCATGCATTCTGCCCTAAGTGTACAAGGGAAACCCCCAGCATGGCCCATAGCATCCCATTCCACAGGGGAGATGCTCTGGAGCTGTCCCACCTGGCAGCACTGATCTCTGCATGTCCTCACATTCTCCCTGTGGGATTTTAAAGGGATTTTGTTGGAAAATCTAGGCAGGCCTAGACTAAAGACCCATGCCATTTGCATAAGCCTGTTTGGGGCTTATTTATTTCATTTGGGGTCATTTCTGTCTCTTTTAATACCTCTTGAAAAGACCTCTGTGATGGCGAGGGGGAAGCGGGGGAATAGCTCTCCACTTCCCTAAACCCAGCATCCACCAGCGGTGCTGTGCAGAACAGTTAAAACCCCCGTTATTTGGGATGCAAAGGTCAGGGTCAGTTCCCTCCCCTTTTCCAGAGCCATCTGGGAGCATCAATGTTTGCTCCTGGGATTGTTATAAACCACTTTTAAACCCCAAACTCTCGGTGCTGCCTCCTCTGGTATCGCCTCGGGATGGTTGGTTTTTAGGGAGAGAGGGATGTAAATCAACCAGGGGCATTTTGGGTCTCTGATCACATCCCAGCTCACAAATGCTCTTTATTTCCAGGCCTGGGGTTTGGATATTGCTCCAATTTCTCATCATCATCTCTCGGCGCTGACAGGCTGGAGCCTGAGCGCAGGGTGAACATCCAGCCTTCAGTTACAGCCCTGCTGGAAGGAAAGGAGGGAACAATATTGCATCCAGCATTTATTTATTCCTATTTTTCAGTCGGTTTTACAGCTTGTTTGGTTTGCTTTGATTCAATTTCATGCAAGGGGAAAACTCTCCTCCCTTGGCATATGCAGCAGCGGATGAGAGCACCCAGGGCATGATGTGGGGGAGAACCTTGTCCTGGGGCTTACAAACAAATCCCTTTGGACACAGGCCTGTAGGGCCAGGCCAAGGGGAATGGCTTTAACCTGCCAGAGATGAGCTCTTAGGCAGAAGCTCTTCCCTGTGAGGGTGCTGAGGCGCTGGCACAGGGTGCCCAGAGAAGCTGTGGCTGCCCCATCCCTGGCAGTGCTCAAGGCCGGGGTTTGAATAGTTTCGGTTGGAAAGGACCTTAACATCATCCAGTTCCAACCCCCTGCTATGGGCAGGGACACCTTCCACTAGAGCAGGCTGCTCCAAGCCCCGTCCATGCTGGATCCCAGCCCAGCATCCCAACCCAGACCACCTGCAACGGGGTTGGGTCTCCAGGAGGTCCAGCAAAGCTTGGACCACATCTGGTTGCCATGGGAAAGCCGCTGAGACCCGACGCTGAGCATCCCCCAAAGAAAACCTCCCCAGACTCAACTTTCTTCACCGTTCCTAAGCGAAGCCGACACACCTTCCATTTCTCCACCAAAGAGGCAATAGATTATTATTGTTCTCCTTAATTAAAAAGTGTGCCCATCTTGGGAGCAGTTAATGAATAGTTCCACATTAACTCAATGCAGGCTGGGAGAGCCGGAGGCAGTGCAGCACCCACGGGGTCAGGCTGAACCCACTGCTCTTGAGGTGTCCCTTGTAAACCAGCTCTTGAGGGTGTAGGGATTAAATCACAGCAACCATCACCCTGGTGTCACCCTGGTGTCACCCCCACCCATCCCTGCATCCCCCCAGGCTCCACGTCTGCAAGAGTAAACCCCCCTTATAAACAGTGGGTTTGCTTTCCAGCCACGCATGAGGATGAATAATTAATCAAGGCTGTGATAAATTATGGCTCATTAGCAATGCTGGGGGGTTAAAGGAGAGGGGAGCAAGAGCATCACTCCTTCCCCTGGCTGGAGCACCCAATGCGGCGCCGGGTGCTGAGGAAACCGTCTCCTCTTCCTCCTCTCCGTATCCACTCTTAAAAGCCTCGGCTACAAAGCGGGTTTTCATGCCACTCTCCTAACCAACACAAAAATGCAATTCCAGGCTCTGAAGTGGTCATTAATCACCAGGAAACTGTGCTTGTTACAAGAGAAACATTAACAAAATAATCATAAATTGTCTGCCAGCCCCGCTTTGGGGATCCATACGTTTCCAAGGGTATGGAAAAGCAGCTCATTATGCCAGCGTAATTAGGGATTAACCCTTTGCCACATGGTGCAGAGTGTGGGCGCTTGCTCCCATCAGGCAAGCATCCTCCTCCAGGCCGGAGCCACCCCACCTGGAACGCTTTGGGCATCCTCGGGAAGCTGCAGGGTTTGAGGCAAGCAAAATCCTGTTTTTTATTGCTGTGATTCAGAGAAAGTGCTGGTTTAAAGCAGCAGTCATGGTGGAGATGGTGCCCACCACGCTCAGCACTGCTCCTTCCAAGGGTAAAGATGCTGGGACCAAACCTGCAGGTGTGACCTGAAAAGGGCCGAGTAGAGTGGGATAATCTTAGAATCAAGAATCCCAGCCTGGGTTGGGTTGGAAGGGACCTTAAAGCTCATCCAGTTTCACGGGCAGGGACCCCTTCCACTAGAGCAGCTTGCTCCAAGCCGCTGTGTCCAACCTGGCCTTGAGCACTGCCAGGGATGGGGCAGCCACAGCTTCTCTGGGCACCCTGTGCCAGCGCCTCAGCACCCTCACAGGGAAGAGCTTCTGCCTAAGAGCTCATCTCAGTCTCCCCTCGGGCAGGTTAAAGCCATTCCCCTTGGCCTGTCCCTACAGGCCCTTGTCCAAAGTGGGTTGTCTGTAGACCCCAGGACGAGGTTCTCACCCCATCGTGCCCTCGGTGCTCTCCTCCATGGTGCCAAGCGGGCGAGGGGAGGGATGGTGTTAACGAAGGAACCTGCTAATTGCACACAGAAGCAGGCTGCGATGAGCAAACCGGGATTTACCGAGCTCTCCCAGCACCCAGTCACAGGATTCCATCCCCTCTATGAAAGCAGGAATTAGTTTTAAACCCGGTGCTTGCTCTGTGTGACAGCTAGATCAGCGAGACAGGCGCCTGCGCTTCCCTTTTTCCCCTCCGATCTCATCAGTTTTAATTAGAAGGATAAATGAGACCTTTCCTTCAAGATAATTATAGAAAACAGTGAATTAAATCAGGAGCAGGATTTATTACTTGTTCTTGTCTCACCACTTGTGTCAGGCATCTGCTATTTGAAGGAATCATCGTTTGCCATAAGGCTTCCCCCCCCCCCCCTCCCCCCCCAGCGACGGGAAGCACGGACATCCCCTCCTGGGCGGCTGGGAGCCCCCATTAATAAATCATCGGAAAGGGGGTATTCTCCCCAAAACAGCTCCCGTTGCGCCCATCACCGAGGCCTCCGGGCTGGCTCGGCTCTGCCCATGCCTCAGTTAACCTCGGAAGCAGGAGCCCGGCCCCGCGGGTGCCGGGAGACCCCCGGGCTGCCCTACAGAGACCCCGCCGGCTCATCGCATGTGTGCCCGGGCCGCCTTAAGGCCGGCGGAGGGCGGGGCCGACCCGGAGGAGGCGGGGCTACCCGCGTGACGCTGCCGGTGACCGCGCCGGGCTCAACCGAGTGGTGCCGAGCTGAGCCGAACCGGGCCGGGCAGGGCCGAGCCGAGCCGAGCTCAGCCGAACCCAGCCGAAATGCAGCGTGCGGCAGCGCGGGTGCTGCGGGCGGCCCGGGGTCTGCTCTATGAGCGACACGGGGAGCCCGCTGCCGTGGTGCAGTAAGGGGGGACATGGGATGTATTGGGGTGCAGGGGGGCCGTAGTGGGGTGCGCTGCGGGGGTGCAGGTACGGGGGGTGCAGGGGGGCCGTAGTGGGGTGCACTGCGGGGGTGCAGGTACGGGGGGTGCAGGGGGGCCGTAGTGGGGTGCACTGCGGGGGTGCAGGTACAGGGGGGCTGTAGTGGGGTGCACTGCGGGGGTGCAGGTACAGGGGGGCTGTAGTGGGGTGCACTGCGGGGGTGCAGGTACGGGGGGGTGCAGGGGGGCCGTAGTGGGGTGCACTGCGGGGGTGCAGGTACGGGGGGTGCAGGGGGGCCGTAGTGGGGTGCACTGCGGGGGTGCAGGTACAGGGGGGCTGTAGTGGGGTGCACTGCGGGGGTGCAGGTACAGAGGGACTGTAGTGGGGTGCACTGCGGGGGTGCAGGTACAGGGGGACTGTAGTGGGGTGCACTGCGGGGAGGGGTATGGCGAAAGTCCCATTTTGGTGGATTTGATGCCGTGTTTTGCCAAGGGACGACACCTCGAGGACTTGCTGCCCTGCTTGCACCAACTCAGATCACCCCTAAAACCACAGGAGGTGCCCGTACATCATCCGGGTGCAGCCAGACACAAAACCCAGGGGGGTTTCGGGGGCATGGACACTTGCTTTTCCCTTATGGCCATTGTGCAACAGTGCTGCTGATTTGCCCTCGCCCTGTTGCTTGTGCAAGTCTTGTGCTTCATCACTTCTCCTTTCTGCTGCTGGTACCCAAGTTCCTGTAATGCTCAAGTGGGGCAGGATAAGCCCCAGAATCCCCAAACTGCTGCATTTTTGTATGTAACCTGTTGAATTTGTTAAGATCAGTGACTTTCTTGCTTGGTGACCCAGGGGTTTGTTAGGCTATTGCCATCAAAAGTCTGTCTAATCCGATAGGTCTTTTAAGTGGGATGGAAATCAGTTGATGCCCAAGGTGTTGGCTCAGGGTTGAGGCGCTGCATGGTATTAACTTTAACCTCAATATTTAACCTCCTTTATGAAAAAGGAAGGGATTTCAAGTAGTTGGTGGTAGAACATCATCCAAGGCTGTATTAATGCACTTTTCCTTTGTGTCTCCCTGCTCAGACTGAAGGACATCGAAGTGGCCAAGCTGGGGGACACCGATGTCCACGTCAAGATGTTGGCAGCTCCCATCAATCCTGCTGACATCAATATGATCCAAGGTACCGCTCCGGCTGCATCCTTTGTGCATGCTGGATCTTGCGGGATGCTCCCGGCAGGATGTCCTGGAGGGTTTGGAAGTGGAACCTGGGATGGGGAGGCCTGGCGTGTGATGCTCACCTCTGGCTTCCCGGCAGGGACGTACGCCATCCTCTCCCCGCTGCCGGCTGTGGGAGGCAATGAAGGTGTCGGGGAGGTGCTGGAGGTCGGGAGTCGTGTGGCAGCTCTGAAACCTGGGGACTGGGTCATCCCGGCCACCTCCGGACTCGGTGAGTGCGCACCCGGCATCCTCAGTGCCAGGAGGCACGGCACGGCTGGGGCACCTTAGTGTGGGCAGCAGGACAAGGGAGGGGATCCTGCCCCTCTGCTCCGCTCTCCTGAGACCCCGCTCGCAGCACCGTGTGCAGCTCTGTTGTCCTCAGCATCAGAAAGGCATGGAGCTGTTGGAGCAAGGCCAGAGGAGGCCACGAGGATGAGCAGGGGCTGGAGCACCTCCTGTATGGAGCTAGGCTGAGAGCATTGGGGCTGTTCAGACTAGAGCAGAGAAGCTGTGTGGAGACCTCAGAGCAGCTTCCAGTGTCTGAAGGGGGCTACAAGGATGCTGGAGAGGGGCTCTTCATTAGGGACTGTAGGGACAGGACAAGGGGTGATGGGTTCAGACTGAAACAGGGGAAGTTCAGGTTGGAGATAAGGCAGAAGCTCTTCCCTGGGAGGGTGCTGAGGCGCTGGCACAGGGTGCCCAGAGAAGCTGTGGCTGCCCCATCCCTGGCAGTGTTCAAGGCCAGGTTGGACACAGGGGCTTGGAGCAAGCTGCTCTAGTGGAAGGGGTCCCTGCCTGTGGCAGGATTTGGAGCTGGATGAGCTTTAAGGTCCCTTCCAACCCAAACCAATCTGGGATTCTATGATCCTTGCTCCCTTGTGAGTTCTTCCTGCATCCCCCCTACCTGCAGAGCACCTTCTTGGGGTTTTTGGGATGCCCAAACCTGCATCCAAGGCATCTTAATTTCTCACCTCTTTATATCTTGGTTTAAGTTCTGTTATTTCCAGGGGTTATTTTTAGTTTTAACATGTTTCTTTTCAAAGCAAGCTCAGTGTCTGATTCCTGACCACAGTGAGTGATGCTCTGCGGATGCAGGGGGGGCTCAAGGGAAGGATGGGGTTCCCCAGGGAAGAGGCTCCTGTGCATGGGACACGTGCAGTGCAGAAACCTGGAGCACTTACAACAGCGATGCCATTACTTATGCTAAACTTGAACTTAGAAATAATTCACTTTTCTATAGCATAGACCCTTTATGGGGCTTCTGTGCCAGTAAAAAGCATCACAGCAATCTCCGAACAAGCATGTTTTGTCACATCTGCTTAGAACTTCTTTAAGGACCTGGGATAAAGCATTTACCCTGTGCAAGGTCATGGTTACATCTCATTACAGTGTTCTCTTTAATAGTGCTCTGATGGGAAAGCAGGGGGATTTATTTTCCAACAAATGTCTCTTGTGCTCCTCCAAAATGCCAATGGCCAGACAAATGATGGGTTCTGGTTTAGTGCAGCAGCTTGTTCCTCGCCTGTTTCCTCTTAAAAGGCTTTTTTTTTCCTTGCTTAATGGGAGAAGGCAAGTGATGTCGTTGAGATCCAAATGTGATATTTTTAAACATAAAAAGCAGAAGTAAATGGATGGTAGGGGGTTAAATCGGATCTAAGTATAGAGGGAGTAAATCTAACTAAATTGGCTTTGAATATATGGGCTCATCTGTAGGATGGGGAGTATTTCCATTATCTCCACACACTCCCTGCACCCAGGGAGCCCTGGTCTCATTATCCCTCTGGGAAATGATTCGCCTTGGCTGGGTGATAAATCTCAGCAGGCAGCGGGGGATCCATCCCCTGCCTTTTGCACTGTTTTGGCCGTATCCATGGGGGAGGCTGTTTCATAAAGCACTCCCCCCGCGTGGTGATGCTGCTGTGACCAGCGCCAAGGCTGTGGTGCGTGGTGAGGGTCTCATCACCGTTTCCTTTCCTCGCCCACCTTCCTGCCTGCGATGCCGCTGGTACCCAGGGACGTGGCGGACGCAGGGGGTGTTCCCTGAGCGGATGCTGCTGAAGGTGCCCAGTGACATCCCGGTGCTGAGCGCCGCCACCCTGAGCGTCAACCCCTGCACAGCGTACCGCATGCTGGCTGACTTCGAGACCCTGGCGCCAGGTACGGCTTTGCTGGGTGGAAGGAGTATTCCAGGTGGATTTGCCAGTCATTCCTGCAGTGAAACTCCGGGTTTGCTCATATCCAGGTGACTCCGTCATCCAGAACGCTGCCAACAGCGGCGTGGGGCAGGCTGTTATCCAGATTGCCAAAGCCTCTGGCATCAAGACCGTCAACGTGGTGAGGGACAGGTGGGTCCATGGGGAGAGGGGAAGGTCTCCTGTAGGGCAGGAGCTGCCCTCAGCCTGGGCTGGAGGTTGGCCATATGGCAAGCTGGTGGTTGCCATGCTTAGGCATGTTTGGGAGTTGGATCTGGTCATTCTGCTCATCCACCTCAGGGTTTTCACCTCTTTGCTGCTCCAAGCTGTCCCCCAGCCTCTGCCCTCTTGTCCCCAGTCCAAGCAGGAGGGAGGGGAAGGGGACTCTCTGCTTTCTGGCTCATTGAGTCTTTGGTTTCTTTTCTTCCCCCCAGGCCTGATCTCCCAAAGCTGGTGGAGAGGCTGACGGCCCTGGGTGCCGACCATGTTGTCACAGAGGAGATGCTGAGAAAGCCAGAAATGAAAGATATATTTAAGGTACCCCAATGGTGATGCCAGCAGAGACCATCCAGGGCTCTCCCTGCAGTCCAGTGGTGCAGGAATGGTGGGAAGGACAAATCTCTCTCTAGATCAGGACTTAGCTCCAGGAGTTGAGGGCTTTTGCTGCTACTGTGAGGGCCAGGTTACAGACCTTGCTGTCCCCAAGTAACTGGTGAGGTTAAGGCAGCTGATCTCTCAGGGACCACGATCCCATCCTTCAAAGGAGCCCTAAAATTTGGGCATCCCCTCAATACACTCTTGCAGAGCATCCCAAAGCCCCGGCTCGCCCTGAACTGCGTCGGAGGCAAAAGCACGACGGAGATGCTGCGGCATCTGCAGTAAGTTTGACCGGGTGGTGGCTTGGGCAAGGTCAAATTGGGGACCACTTAACCAGCTCCCCCTTTCCTCTTCCAGGCCCAAAGGCACCATGGTCACCTACGGTGGGATGGCAAAGCAGCCTGTGATGGTGCCTGTGGTGAGTACTGGAGGTGTTCTTGGTGTCCCCCAGGGCGTGTTGAGGTCGAGGGAGGGGATTCTCCCCCTCTGCTGCGCTCTGGGGAGAACCCCCCCTGCAGTCCTGGTCCAGCTCTGGGGCAACAGCACAAGAGGGACGTGGAGCTGCTGGAACGAGGCCAGAGGAGGCCAAGGAGATGCCTGCAAACTGGGAGCCTCCAATCTTCTCTTTATTTAAGTGATGGGGTCCATTATGGGCCCGGCTGCTTTGCACCCAGCACAGGCCTCTTGCCTTTTCCAATGGAGAATCTGGGCTGCTGTAAAATCCCAGCAGGGAAATGGCCCCATAGAGGCAGAGCATCAAACCCAGCATCTCCTCTGGGCTCTCCCATCCCTCTCCCCGCAGAGCGCCTTCATCTTCCGGGACGTGCGGCTCCGCGGCTTCTGGATGACGCAGTGGAGGAAGGACCATGAGCAGGGTGAGCTGGGGGTGCTGAGGGGTGGCACTGATGCAGTGGGTGAGCACCGGAATGGGGGCCAAACCACCAGTGAGAGCATCCATCCCTGGCAGCGCTCCAGGCCAGGGGGAACGGATCCTTGGGTGATGTGGGCTAGCAGGAGGTGTCCCTGCCCATGGCAGGGGGTCGGAACTGGATGATCTTGAGGTCCTTTCCAACCCAAACCCTTCTGTGATTCTGGTGTAAGTCCTTGGGGCAGCTGAAGCACCCGCACTGGGTCTTGCGGCTGGGACTTGGATTTGGAGTTCCACCACGGCGCTCTTTCCCCATCCCACATATCCAAGCTGGGAGCACATCACACCCCAGGACCCTGCATGGCTTCGTGCGGGGCTCTGGCCCGGGATATAGGGGTGAGAGCTCCCTCCTTCCCTCGCAGACCAGCAGAGCGTGGCCACCATGATGGATGCCCTGTGCCAGCTCATCCGCAGGGGCCACCTCACCGCACCCACCTGCACCCAGGTCCCTCTCCAGGACTACAGGGAGGCTCTGGAAGCTGCCATGAAGCCCTTCACGTCCTCAAAGCAGATCCTCCTCCTCTGAGCTGCAGCGCGGTGCTGCTCCCCACAGCCACGCTGCCCCTTGCTGCCTCGGAGGGGCTCACAGATGGGGGGGGAAAACCTCCAGATCTGTTGATTTTTGTCTTTTTTCACACTTTGAGGAGCCTATTTGAAGGTTTAAAGCCCTGTGCAGCTCCGCACGGCTGGCAGCGTGCACCGCTGATGTGCAGGGAGCCTGCATCTCGCTTTAGCTGGGGGAGCTTGGCTGCAGGAGGATGCTCAGGGAGCGCAGGGGCTGCATTGGCTCAGCTCAGGGAGGCAGGAGAGCAGCAGCTCTCCCTCACACGAGTGTTTTGGGGCTGCTTCCTGCCTGTGTTAGTGGTGCCAGTGTGGTTCTGCTGTTCGCACTGTCCCCATAGGTGATTTTTGGGTGCTTTCGGGTCACTTTGCAGAGTATTGCAGGGCCTTTCTCCCAGCTGCATTCGCTACTGCGGCCCCTGAGCCACCTCCATGTGCCCCCTCCCAATGCAGCAGCCAAGAGCCCATGGTTTGGGGGCATTCCCTACACTGAAAGGCAGGGAAAACCCAGGTTTTTCTCCCTTTTAACATGGTTTTTCCCCGCCCGGCCCATGCTGTGCTGCAGGACGGGGGCAGGGGATGCTTATGAAGGCCTGAGCACAAGGGGGTTTTCCAGCCTTTGGCAACACTTGATCCCAAACCCGACCTCAAACAGCAAAGAAAGGGGAGGGGAAAGCTCAAGTTACCCATGGGCAGGAGCACTGAGCAAGAAGCACTGATGCTTGTGGTGCCATTGAGCTCCTGGCCAGCTGCCTGCAGGGCAAAGGGGGGGCTTTTTGCCCAGCCTGGATTTGACTTGGGTTTTGCTGCTCTTCCACTGCTGCTTGTGAGGAGAACCTCATGGAATTCAATGTCCAACACAAGCCTGGTTCTCCAAGCTGCTGACAATAAATGGCTCTGTGCTCACATGGGGCTGCATGCCATGAGGGTGGCACCAGTGGTCCCGGCTGCCTGGGTCTTTCCTGGTCCTGCAGCATGGAATGGTTTGGGTTGGAAGGGACCTTCAGGACCACAAGCAGGGACACAAACACCAGGGTTTTCCATCCTATAAAGCTTCAATTGCAGTTGCAGATAAGCAGCATCCTGCTAAAGGCAGCTGGGGGATGGATGTGGTTTGGGGCTCCTCCATTAGCACCTCCTGGGCACCAAACCCAGCACTGCCCTAAGGCAAAACCTTTGTTTCCCCACAGTTACCGCAATGGGAACGATGGGGCTCATCCTAAGAGCAATAGGGCAGGGGGACAAGAGCCTGGAGTCCCTTCCAAAAGGCATTGCAAAGCCTTTCACTGCGTTTGGCCTAATGCAGTGCTGGTGCTGGGGGCCTTTAGTGGGCTGGGAGCCAAACCCACCGTGTTCTGGATCAACCCCAGCCCCGGGTGAGGAGACAGAGTGAGGCTGCAGAGGCAATGGGCAGAGCGGGGAAAGGTTTATTCCTGAGACCAACAGCACGGTTACTCCTGCTCCTGCCCTATGGCTCTTCCCTGCCCCCTAAGCTCCACCATCCCTCGTCCATCCCCATGGGGATGGAGCCCGCTGCCCTCAGCTGCGGTGTTTGTCCAGGCTGGGCAATGGTGGTGGTTGGAGCCTGGCCCTGCCATGGCAGGGGAGAAGCTGCCACCACCCTGGGCATCACCGGGGACCTGCATTGGGCTGGGCTGATGGAGCATGGGGAGCCCCATGGCGGGTGGACACCGTGGGGTGACACTGGGGTGGCTGCAGAGGGCTGGGTGCAGTTCTGTTCCTCTGCACCGGCTCAGCACCACGTTGGGGTCTTCTCCCATGGGTGTCCTTCACGTTGGGGCCTGGGGGGAGCTGCAGCGGCCGCTCCCAACCGGTCACCAGCACCTTCTGCCGTCGTCTCCATCTTGAGGAGGTTGGGGTGATCCCTCTGGAAATAGAGGTGGTGGTAGAAGAGCAGCTGCAAAATGCAAAGGAGAGGAGTCAGCTGCGAGCGGTGCAAGGAGGAGAGGCAGAGATCCGGGAACTCAGCATCCGCATGGGAAAGGGCAAACCCGAGGATTCCAAAGGACTTCCTGGTGCGTTTTAAACCTCTGGTTTGGGCTGAATTAAGTGTTAGGGGAGAGTTTAGGTCAGTGCTAACCACCCGTGTGGGTGCAGCTGGGAGCAGGGAAGCGCAGGGTCTTCAAAAGCCTAAAATCCAATGCAGAAACCCAAATAGCTCTCGTTTTGGAGCACCCACGTGTGGAACGGGCCTGTTGGAACGCTGCTGGTGCTGAGGTGTCTCTTGTCAGCAGTCAGCAGCTGCCAGGAGGCGATGGAAACGTTTGGTGCAGGCAGATACGGAGCAAGCACAAGAAAAGCACCAGACAATGGCACAATCTTTGTGTGTCACGGGCCCAAAGGCAGCAGAAATAACCCAAAGCTCTTCTGCCAGCGTTCCTGCTCCTGCATCCAGCGTTGCTGAACAGGAGCCCTTCGCTCCCATCCCATCTCCTCCCTGGGCAAGACTTGGTTCATCTGGACATGAACCTCTCTCCCTGCCTGTCCTGCGGGTTCTTCTGTGTGCGGAGGAACCCACATAGCTGCCCCAGAGCAGGCTCTGCTGCAGCTCCTTGATGGGGTGTCTGTGACCATGTCCTCTTGGCCTCAAAGATCTCACGGGGTCCCCCCTGCTGAGCCCTTCCTTGTGGAGGGGTTTCCCTGCGGTGACAATGCAGCTTCCATTGCTGCCCCAGCAGATGGACTTGGACTGGAAGCAGCAGCCAAGCTTCCAGAGCACAAAGGGGAAGCAGGAGGATGCAGACGGGCTGGGTCTGGCAGAGGTCTCCAGGACACAGAACTGCATGGTCAGGGTGCGGGATGCATCAGGCAAACCCTGACGGGTTGCTTTCCTTTGCGGGAGGTGCGGTGGCAGCACCCCAAGGTGCTCCGGTGTCACTTCCTCGGTGCTGAGGATGCCTCTGGTGAAGGCATCTCTATCACCACTTGGTTCCTGGGCTTGGCTGCAAGTGGTCCCCGAGCAGCCTGAAGGGCCGTGGCACCGACGGCCTCTCCATCCTCCATCATCACCGTGACACCGGTGGTCCATGATGGCTCCATGACGGTTCCATGCGTGGTGCCCATCTCCTGGCAACAGGAAGCAGGAGGCAGCAGGAGTTGCTGGAAAGCCGCGTTGTCTTCTCCTGGAGAGAGCTGTTGTGAGCCCAGAAGTGACCCCTGCATTAATGCCCTTCCTTTCCATGTGTGCCGAGGGGGATGCTCATGGCCTCTGCAGTGTCCTGCGGGTCCCACAGCTGGGGCTGGAGCCAGCATCCAGCTCCCTCTCAGCTTCCCTCGTGTCCCTCAGGCTGGGGACTGTGTCCCGCAGCTCATCCACTGCTGCAGGAGGTGCTGCACCAGCCGCAAGGGCAGGGACACGTAGGGCACCCTGAGCTCCGCAGCCTCCCCTTAAGGTCCCTTCCAGCCTAAACGCTTCCATCATTCTGTGGTATCCCCTGTGCTCTACTGAGGATGTTCCCATCCCCTCAGCTCCCATTTGGCACCACAGGAGCTCTTTTGCAGCAGGGGAGGGCTGCAAACTGGCAGCCTCCAACCTTTACATTGAATTGATGGGGTCCATTATGGGCCAGGCTGCTTTGCACCCAGCACAGGCCTCTTGGCTTTTCCTATGGAGAATTTGGGCTGCTGTAAAATCCCAGCAGCAAAATGGCCCCATAGAGGCAGAGCATGGAACCCAGCATCTCCTCTGGGCTCTCCCATCGCTATGGAGGCAGAGCAGCGTCGTGTGGCCCAGAGCTTTCCCGATCGGTGCCGCAAGCGGATGGCAAAAGCATGGAGAGCACTCTGGGATGGTTCAAAGCACTATTAAGGATGACATAAACCAGAGAAATTAATGCAAAGCTTTAACCCCCTTGTTTGTTTGACTCGGCAATAAAACCTAACAAGCGTTTGAGAGCTCCATGGCACGTGATGTTCCCGAGCGCTTTACTCCTACACCAGGGCACGAAGGAATAAATAATGGAGTTTAACTCCACTTGTCGGATGAGCTGGATCCCGGTTGGCAATCCAGCTGCTGGCATTGCACACACGCAGGATGGAGGTTTTGGGGGTGATGGTGGGGGTACTATAAGGGTGGTGGCTGCTAACCTGAGCCTCTGCTGGGGTTTGGTGGGATTTAGGCACCCAATGTGTCAATTGAAATAAGTGTGTGTCCGTCCCCCCCTAAACGGCACTTCGGGAGCTGCAAGAGGGGTGTCGCAGCTCATTGATGGGAATGAGGAATGGCTGAGCATGGCCGGCAATGGGGGGTGTCCCCAGGGAGGGATGCCATGGGGCATCCTGAGCACCCCTGGTGCAGGGATGGGGGATACCCCTCTGTGTCTGGGGAAGGAGGGGCCTAACAATATCTGTTGTACTGGGGACACCCCACAAGGCCCTGCCCTATAGAGGACCCCATAAGCACCTTGGTATAGCGGGACCTCCCCACACTAATGCCTGGCATGTGAGGAAAGGGGACCTTGTGGGGTGCCCCCAACCCATGAGAAAGGGAACTGCCACCCCCCCCATGGGGGACGAGACCCCCACATGTCCTTGACCATGGGAGGGCAGGCTCCAACACCACCCTGTTCATGGGGAATGGCGTCCACATAGGCCCCCCAGACCACGGAGAAGGGTGACCCCCGCACACCCTATTTATCACCCCACAAGCGCCCTGACGCATGGGGGCCTCCCATTAGCGCCCTGCATATGGGAAAGGGGAAATCGATGCGTCCCCTCCATACGGGAAACGGCCATACCCCTATAGGCGTTCAAATGAGCCCCACACTGCCACACAGCGGCGTGGCCCCTTTAAGAGCCGACAGGCGGGCTTGGGGGCGTGGCCTCCCTTGCCGTATTCCTATTAAGGCCCTCCCCTCTCTTCTTCCCGCGCTGCGTCATGACGTGACGCCGCCGCCTAGCCCCGCCCCTCTTGCTCGCGGCGCGCCGCCGGTGCAGCCCCGCCCCTCGGCGGGCCGCTCCCCCGC